TTAAGGATGAACGGGTTTAAGAGTTTTAAGAGTTTAAGAGTTTAAGAGTTTTTAAGAGTTTTTAGCCAAATGCTTTATAATATAGTATAGATATAGATACTTGGTATGTATACATATATTAACATGATAAATAAAATAATCAATACCCCAAATGGTTCTGTTAATTCTAATTAAAACCTACCAACCTAATCTTGATTCATCATTTAATATAATAAAAATATCAATGCTTTTAAAACACAATAAAATATATTTATATGTTTTTCTCTCTCTTTTTTTTAATGAGAAAATAACGATAAATATTGGACGTAGGAAGGGTATGAATTGAGTGGGAAGTAGGAAGTAGTTGTAAAGTAGACACCTTTATTTTAATATTAATTTTATTTTAAAATTAGTATTGAAATTATTGACATATATAAGCCTTTTTCGACTAAATTGGTGTATTAAATTCTATCTTTAACTTATTAATTAAAATCTCTATCTTTTTTTTCATTATGGGAATAGTTTACATATTTAATAAATACTTAAGCTTCCTACAATTTAGCATCTCATTACTATTTCATAATAATTAAAGATACTATAAAAACATGTTATATTTGTTTGGATAAGTTACAAATATCGTCCCTAAAGTTCATGAAAACTTTGGTTTTTGTCTTTAACGTTTAAAAATTATAAGAATGGTCGCTGAGATTTCACTTCCCTTGCAGTTTTCATCCCTGACTATAAGGTCAAGTACGTTAGAAAGTGTCGTTCAATATTGGTCATGTGAGTGGCATTTCGATGTTTAATGGTAGTAGCTAACGACCCTGGTGGTCATGGACCAAAACGGCAACGAAATCAAAATCTTAAGGATTTTTCTTGTAATTTTCCAAACTTTATGGACAAATTTTCATAAACCTCAAAAGCGATTCTTGTAATTTACCCTATTTGTTCTCAATAATTGTTTGTTTAGTGACGTGGAGATATTATTTATATTTTAGAACATATGCATATATATTAAAATTTTAAGCAGGATTCGAATAATGTGATATTCGTGAGAATGAGATGATAAATGCCACCCCTCTTGCTTTCCTTCCTTCCATTACTGACCAACATCATCAAAGCAAACCCATCTCCATTTCAATTCCTACATTGCTTCTCCCCATCCCCCACTTCTATAAATCTCCTTCTTAAATATCAAATCGCATCTCAAACTGTCGAATGAAATCTCAGAAACATAACACCATGTCTGTATCTGATTCAAGTTCATCACTTGAAGAAGTTGCCATCCCAATTCACAAGGTCTTTCTTCATTTCTTTCTTTTCTGTTTTGATATATGGATTCAGATGTCTGATGGGTCATCCTTAATTTGGTCATTTACAGCTTAAGTTATGATCTTTTTGAACCTAATCATGTGGGTCTGCTTGTTCTTTATGAAGCTACTTCAACTTCTTGCTCATCAGGAGTACCAAAATTGGAGCTAAAGTTTGGAGTTTTATTTCATAAATATTTAAGGGGTTCTTAAATACTGTGGTTTTTTAGGTCTATGTTTTAAGTGAACAAGCAGGGGTTTAATCAATTCAATGAAGAAACTGAATTTTGCCCAATTACTTGTGAAACTTCCCCTAATTCTTGGATGGAAGTTGAAGGTTGTTTATTATAATAATACTGTGTAATTTCAAATTCTTTCCTTTTCTTGAATGGAAGTTGATGCTTTCTGCAGAAGTGCTTTAGGGATAAAACCCTTTCGATTTTCGTGTTTGGTTTTATGATTTTAGTCAGTTGCGTCGTTTAGCTTCCAAGTTGTGATTGCAAAATGGGTTTCAAGAATGCTGGTCAGCCATTTTGGCTCATACAAAGAAACAGTCATTTTGGCTCACAAAATCTTGATCATTTCCTTGAATTTCTGGCTGTTTTTAGGTTCATGAAGACGTTTCTGAAGAAAGTATCGAAGCCCAAAACGGCAAGCACGGGAGGAAACCAAATCTGTTCTTGGAGATACCATCAAGATCAATACAACCCTCTTCCTCAGAGGAGTTTGTTCTAATAAAGATGCCTCAAACACCAACTCCTACACCCAAGAAAGTGAATTTCAACTTGACACCATGCCCTTCGGAGGTTCGATCTCCGGTTACTAACACTCCGCGAACCAAATCATTGAAGAAAAGTCTTCTACCAAAACTAAGTTTCAAGAATAGGAATAGTGTTTCAGATACAGAGAAAGCTGTTGTTAATACCATTCCAGCAGCCCCTTCTTCTTTGCCTCAAGAGAAGCCTTCTATCTCGAGATCATGGTCATTTACGAAAATATTTACCCCTCGTTCGAAGAGGCCATCGTCTCTACCTGCTACCCCTGTTGGTCATTCGGACCCTGGACTTGGATCAGGAAGCTCGAGAGGTTCTCTTAATGCGGAGGTATTCCCATTATGACCTCTAATTTGATGTTAATTTGGTAGATTATGTTTCTGGGATACAATTAACAGACTCAAGATTACCGTATTTGACTCTAATTATGTACTATAGAGCTTACAGTATCTCATTTTCTATGTGATTGTTTGTAGGCTAAAGTCCAGGGACAAATGGCTCGGTCGCATTCAGTTCCCAATCTCAATAAAGAGGCAAGTATCAAGAGAATGGATTCGTTTTTCCGAGTGGTTCCTTCAACTCCACGAGCGAAGGATGCTGATGCCACAACACTAACCCCTACTCCAATCGGTGATGCTGGTGAGTTCATGTGACTTTAACTGAGTTTCCATCATCAGAAATGACTAAAAAGATCCAATTTTGATAGCATTTTTCACATATGATTGATAAAAGATTTTATCTTTTGGCTTCTATCATCAAACATGACTCCAAACTCCAATTTTTATAGCATTATTCACATTTGATTTATAAAAGATTTGATCTATTGGCTTCCATCATCAGAAATGACTAAAGATATCCAAAGTATATTGCATTATTCACATATGATTGATAAAAGATTTGATCTTTTGGCTTCCATCATCAGATATAACTAAAAAATCCAAATTTTGTAGCATTATTCACATATGGTTTATAAAAGATTTGATCTTTTTGGCTTCCATCATCAGAAATGATTAAACAGATACAATATTCATATGATTGATAAAAAGATTTGATCCTTTGGCTTCCATTATCAGAATTTGACCAAAAAGATCCAATTTTTATAGCAATATTCACATATGAATGATAAAATATTTGATCTATTCGTTTAGTCGAAGATGAAGCTGATGGTGGTGAAGATATACCCGAAGAAGAGGCGGTTTGTAGGATATGTCTTGTTGAATTACGTGAAGGCGGAGAAACCCTGAAAATGGAATGCAGCTGCAAAGGTGAACTTGCTTTGGCTCATCAAGAATGTGCCATAAAATGGTTTAGCATAAAAGGTAACAAAACCTGTGATGTGTGCCATCAAGACGTCCGGAACCTTTCTGTCACACTTTTAAGAATCCAGAGTAGTGTTAGAAACCGAAATTCTGCTGCAAGTAGAGCCACTCACTTGGAAACTCATGGATACGGGTAAGTTAATGAACTACTACTACTCCCTTGATTCAAATTCGGTTTCTTGATTAACATCTAATGTTAGTTTTTGTTCTGATCTTGTTTAGCGATATCTATAGGGTGTGGCAGGATGTCCCGATTCTTGTCATTGTTAGCATGCTTGCCTACTTCTGTTTTCTAGAACAACTTCTGGTAGGACTCCGTACAATTTCAGTCTTTGGCTTAATACTACAACAAAATCGGCTTTATATTACGCCAAAGATATCTAACTGTCTTAATAAACTGATTTATAGGACTTAAGTTTGTTGGACCAAACAATTGTGAGTCATATACAAAGGTGTTACAATAGGATGTTAGAACGTATTTGAGCATCCTAACTAGTTTTTTGTGACGTTTTTGAAATAAAGTGTATTATTTTTTTTATACGACACTTCCGAGAAGTGTCCTATGCACACATATTTTTATATGACACTTTCTAAAATAATATATAAAAAGATCAACAGGGCGTTTTATTTCAAAATTGTTCTAAAGAATTTGTTACGATACCCAAAAGCGTCCTATCAACTTATTGTAACACCTTTACATATATCAACTATTGTTCGTTCCTATGATGCTAGTCTATCAGGGCATTCAAACATATTTGAGGTTTTATAAAGCCAATTTTGTTGTAGTGTAATATCTGCAACACATCTGACCATCGGGCGTCACTTTTTTTAAGGTTCGGAACATGGGTACAGGTGCAATCGCCCTCTCTCTTCCGTTTTCGTGTGTCTTGGGTCTTCTTTCTTCCATGACCGCTTCCACCATGGGTACGCTGTCTATTTTGTTGATAATTGAAACGAAAAAATCATGTTATTTGTTAATCTTTACTGTTCCATCATACCTCCAAACTCAAATATCGCGTTTTCTTGTGTACAGTGAAGAGAAGATTCATCTGGTTATATGCATCAATTCAATTCTCATCTGTTGTACTCTTCGCACATATTTTCTACGATCTGGTAAGAAGCTTCTTCGTACACCGATCTATTTTCTCAAGACACGATCACATTCATTTACACCTCTAATTTGATGGTATATATATGCAGATTCATGTTCAGCCAGTTTTATCGATTCTTCTTGCAACTTTTGCGGGCTGTGGGGTGGTTATGTGTTGTAGCTCTATTCTTGTGGAGGTCTTGAGGTTAAGAAGACAATGGGTTGCTAGATCAAATCACGAAACCCATTCTCGGGGTGTTTTACATCCAGAAGCATCGTTGTCGTCCTCCGACACTAATCCTTCACACCAAATTGAGATCAGAAACACAGAAGCTGCTTCTACTGGGATTTAAGTTTAATGGGTTTTTATTTAACTTCAGAATTATTGTGTTCTTGAGCTTGCATTTCCTGTAGTTTTTTAGATGGTATACGTAGGTGGGGGTGTGAAATTTTGGTCTGTATATTGAAACAAGATTAGAAAGATATGATTTTGGTTGATGATTGTGCACTTGTTCTCTGTTTGCTCGATTCATTTTTTGTATATTTTGCGTCATAATATCTCCTTGACGGATTGATGTTGAGAACTGTGTGATGTGTCAAAGAATTCCAAACGAAATCGATATATTTTATTTGAAAGTAGGGTCTGAGGACTAGGATACAAACCCTTAATTGCTAGCCATGAAAACTACGTGTCTTTGGACTAGCAAAGGTGTATTTGAAGGTGCGAGGATGCATTAGGGCTTACGGTTTGCCCCCGTGTCACTAGATTTCTTAAATGTTCACTAAATAAAATCACTCGGGTCCGTTTGATTCATAGAATGGGATAGAATTTGGAATTCAATTTCATTTCAATCTCATGTTTAGTTTAAAGGATTCTTTGGAATTGAAATCGTAGGATTTCATCGAAATTCCACAAATATGAGATCTAGAAATTCCATGGGATTATTGGTATTTCATAGGATTTGTGTGTAGTAATATTTTATAAAATATGTTAAAAACATTTATTTTTATAAAAAATAGAATTTAATTCCATTACAAATCATGTAAATCAAACACATCAAAGATTTTAATTTTTTTAATTCCAATTACTTTCATGAAATTCAAGTTCGCAAAACTATTTCATTAAACCAAAGGTTGACTTAGTTTTAGTCATTCCATTTAACTTTGCTAGATGTTTGGATCTTTTCATGGTACTCTAGAAGGAATAAAACGGTGAGTTGGCAAATTTTCTAGGGACGAATTCTGTAAATTACACCCTTAAAAGAGAGGGTTCCTAACAAAAATAACCCACCAACATTTAAAAATTACGTTGTTTGACCCTATAATTTAAAAGTTTGGAAATATAACCATCGTTTACACCGTTAGCGTATTCCGATGCATACAGGGACTAACGGGCAAACAAAAAAATTATGACACCGATGTGACCGAGCCCTGATGATGTGACCAAGCCTTTGACCACACCCTTACGCACCGGCCGATGCGCGGTGTGTAAGATCTTCACCTGGTTGGATTTTTTTCTCTCACTTTTGCTCCTTACCAATACAAAATACTATTCAGTTTTGTCTTTTTCCCTTTCAACCCCATTATATAAACAATTTAAATTTCATGTTATCAACATAAAACCAACATTTTAATCTTCATTTTCTTAATACAATATCCATTACCTTAATACAATCTTCATTACCGAAATTTAATCGTCTACATCATGGTAATTTTACTTATATTAATGTTAATATAATCTCATTTTACAATGTATTTTTTATATAATCTCATTTTTATAATGTATTTTTTATAATGATGTTAATATAATCTCATTTTTACAATGTATTAATTTTAACATAATCTCAATTTTACAATGTATTAATTTTAATATAATCTCATTTTTACTATGTATTAATTTTAATATGATCTCACTAACCCTGATGTATTTTTTATATGATGTTTTCATAACCTCTTTGTATTATATCTATCAGGAGGATTATTATGAAGCATTTGTTAACAAAAAATCAAGTATTGAATTTTCAAATACAAATTTGAGGGCATTGTGGAGGTCGGAAAACCGACTAAAAATGTTTTAAAATATTTAAAAATACTTGTTTCGGTAAAGAGACATTGTATTTTAATGTCGGATGACGTCTTTTACGTTTTGGACAAGAAGAATTTTGTCTCGTTACTGGTATGAAATTTTGCCCGAACAAACATTCGTTACCAGAGATAACAGAGTTGTCCTTTAGATATCGAGATTTAGACCTTGTTGAAAATCGTCTGGTACGCATGAGTGATCTTACCCGAGTTTTTGAACAACAAATTCGGAACAATAACAGACATTGATGCAGTACACCTATGTCTTTTGCTTCCGGTTTTCGTTGGATTTATCAGTCAACAAACGAACCATATAGTTTCTGATGAGTATTTACGGTTAGTCGAAAATTTAGATGCATGGAACAGGTATTTTTTTAAATATCGTCTATTCTTTTAAATATCGTCTATTTTTTTCGTTGTGTTCTATAGTTTTATTACGTACATTGTATTATTGATCTATAATACGTTTATGACACAAGTATCCACGGGGTAATAATTTTTGGGAGTCCTTATACTATCAACTTAATGATGTGTTACCAAAACGTGAAAAAACTCATGTTCAAAAAACGTGAGTCGTCTGAACGCAAATACAGATACACATTATATGGATTCGTGTTTGCATTCAAGGTAACTTTTAACTAATTGTTTATTAACCGTAAAATAACGAAGTTACGTGTAAATTAAATTGTTTACTAACTATAAGATAAAACAAAATATGGAGATAGATATTGGAAGCATTTCCACATGCTTCATTTTCTTATGGTTTACGGACCGATGGAGTCATCCCTAGGACATGTGCCTGACAACGCACGAAACAATTAATGTGACTGATACAAACAATCCCCCGAGACAGCCCCATAATAAGGGTCAAGATCAACCTTATATTTCTCATATGCGTTTTCAGTGTCATCTAAATTGGCTTCATTTTCTTCCGCATAAAGTTCAAAAATACAAATGCCATAATCAGATGGTAGATCTTGGTATTGGTACGTCGGATGATTTTCGAATGACTTATATGGAGTGTTGTATAACTGATATGGAGTTTCATACGCCCCCTAACTTTGAAAATGGTGATATTGAGATTGATATGTTCCAAGTGGGGTTTGAAACAATTGATATTGAGTTTGGTACGAATGATATGGAATGCTAGGAGTTGTCTCATCACTTTGGAACGATTGATGTGGAATGAATGGAAGTATGTATTTGGCTGTAATCCGGCTCACATTGGTTTGACACATATGAAATGAGTTTAAGTATATATTGAGGGTGCTCGGCCCCATACAGAGTGGCTGGAACAATCTCTTGATTTGAGGTCGATTGATTGTTTTCAACACCACGATCGCAAACATACAACCTTAAGGCTTGCAGCGAAATATCCACACCAATAGCCAAAAAAATGTCTCGTATCATCGATATCAAATAACTCGACAATCGAACAAAATGACAAAGATTTATATGTTAACTTAAAACGATTTTGAAAACCAGGTAGTTTATTTTTCTAGCTAAATAATTGACCAACCCGGTAACGTTAAGTGTATCAACAACAATACAACAACTTTTTGCATTTCTGAAATATAATCTACCACGTCATTGGCTAACTGTCACGAACCTCCACAAACAAATACGTACTCTAACTTTCTCAATCGCAGACATTGATTCTTGAGAATTTAGAGAAAATAATTTTTTTTTGTAAACATTGGATCCGTACATATATATCAATAAATTGAAAAAAAAAACTCGAATATATATAGTGTGTGTGAAAGAGACAAAAAGAAAGGAATTTTAAAAAAAATGTAGGCTGGTAGGGCCCTTACGCATCGTGCACTAGTCGGTGCGTAAGGGTGGGCTCCACCGAGCCATGCATCAGTCATGTCCATGTCAAAGCGGTCTTCAATTTGTTTTTTGCACAATAGTCCCTGTACGTGCCAGGATATGCTAACGGTGTAAACGAGGGTTATATTTTTAAACTTTTAAATCATAGGGCCAAAAACGTAATTTTGAAATTTTGGTAGGTTATTATTGTCAGGACCCCTAAAAGAGACGCGAACCCTAATTGTAACCCGGAACCTGTCCCCAACTTCACACGGGTCGGGTGCCATTTTCTACCTCTCCAAAGGAGAAACAACGAACCTGTTTTCAGTATTCCACACGCAGCAAACAAGACGAAAACGAAGACAATACGAACAAGATGAAGATAGAAGAAGTTCAGTCTACTACTAAGAAGCAGAGGATTGCTACGCACACACATATCAAAGGCCTTGGTCTTGAGGTTTTATTCACTCTACACCCGTTTTTTCCGTCCACCTTTCCATGGATTACTCAGGGTTTAGGGTTTATCGTTCGATTTCCCGCTATAATATTATGGCCCAGATTATATCTTGCAAGTGTGCGGGACTGATTTTCTTTGATGTTTGCGCTTTATTTTGCTGCAAAATTTTCTGTTTGACGAATGTGATGGACTTATTTTCTGTTTATGCTCTAGAAACCGCTTTTTGGGTTAGGGTTTGATTATTTCGTGCTATATATATGCTCAAGATTAACAATCTTAAGTGCGGGACTGATTTTTTTTTTGGCGAATTATCGTGTTCTTAGCAAACTTGATGTATTAAAATTTGCTAATGTTCTAAAATAGTTTTCTGTCCTAGGGTTTATTATTCAATTTCGTGTTATATGCTTATGATCCAGCTTATATATTACAAATGCGTGGATTGACTTGCTCTTATTTGCTGTAAATTCTTGTTTTTGACAAATGTAATGTATTAAATTTACTCTATGTTGTATAAATTTTTCGTTTATAGTGTTTATCATTTATCAACGAGTTCCATTTTACAAACTTATGGTGCCACATATATGTAATATGTTGCAATTATGAGGGACTGTCTTTATTCTTCTGCAAGTTCTTGTTCTTGACAAAATGATGGATTTGAAATTATTCTATGCTGTAGAAGTTCTGATACGAGTACTGATAATTTTGTCTAGGCTACTGGGAAAGCAATACCTTTAGCTGCTGGATTTGTGGGTCAGGCGGCAGCAAGAGAGGCTGGTGGCCTTGTAGTTGATATGATCCGCCAGAAAAAGATGGCTGGACGGGCACTTCTACTTGCTGGACCTCCTGGTACTGGTAAAACTGCTCTTGCCCTTGGTATCTCCCAAGAGCTTGGTAGTAAGGTATGCCATACTTTGCAACATCTGCACCCTATTATCTGTAATTGGACTCCTTTTTCCAAATTGATTAGTTTAAGAATCTACATTTTTTGTGAGGGATAAACATGATGATACTTTGATATGAAATAGAATTCTTGTTTTGGAACTTAAATGAACATCCGCAAGCGGGGTGAAAGAAGAGGGGTTGTTGTTGTATCATTTGTGATTTGCGTTGTTATCTGTTAGGCAAGTCCTAGGCATAACGCACAAACCTGTATGTATAATTATCTGCAGGTCCCATT